CGATGGGAAATATTAAAGGAAATAGTTCACTTTCCTGAAATTAGTATTTTGCTATGGATTTATGTTTTTTTATGCTCAAAATGATCCGAAAATAAAACAAAACGTTTTTGTAAAAAGGATTATTTTCTATATTTTAGTATAAGAAGAACTATATTCTATATAAAATAATGTTTGACGCGGAAGCTTATTACGCGTTGACCAATCATATTGCGTAGGACAAACCCATCGGCCGTAAGCAGCATTCTGATTGGCTGACGATGACGTGACTGCATTCCTCAGCAAGGCACGCATTCCTCTGCAAGGCACTCTTTTCGGAACGAAAAATGGAATATCTTCGTCTAGGGTGATCGTTGGGCCGTAAAAGCTTCTGATTTGTGCTAGTCTCAGCGCAAGCAACAAAACTGCTATTCCAGTTCCAAACCCCATGTTAAAAGTGAACTATTTCCTTTAATGGGAGCTTATTGATCTTAGAACAGCCACACCACGGTAGATTTATTTGAGTTAAAGTTTTATCAGTGTTATCTTTTCAATGGAATATTTTGTAAGCTATGTTGAAGTTTGCCAAAACATTACGAGTTGGGCAAAATGTAGATGACTTTGGTATATAGACCTACCTCTATTATCTTTCACTTTAATTTTTATGGAAACTTCCTTGCCTGTTCAAGTTTTAATGAGAAGCGCAACTAACCTTTCTCATCAGCCATGGCTAAGTTTTGCTGCTCACATTAAAGGTAGTGTGCCACCTTTGAAAGATTTCCCATTTTATTTTTCCTAGGATAAGAAGCTTCTGTTTTTACCTAATATCGCAAAAAAATCAAAAATGGACCTGGAATAGTGCCTTTTTCGCCTAAAAGTTTATCGGTTTTTAGATATGTATAACAACTGTAGTGGGCTCACCTGCAAACAGGCGTCGGGCAACAATCGCGAATGCGGCGCACTTGTGACAATAAGCAAAGGTCATTATAGTATTACGACCATACGACGTACGGGAATGAGTTATCAGCTGTCTAATCGTAGACAACACAATGTCGAGCCTTAAACTGTAAGCCCGTATTGGTATTGTTTCTTTTATTTGGCTGTCGAACATTATTTATGGTTTGAAATATGATTTTATGTAAAATAATTGATATGAAAAAGCCGTCTTATAAGTTATGACCCCATTTCACCACACGCAAGTGGCGGAAATGACAATGATCAGCTGACGCATTTTCTTGGCCGAAGTCAGAGCGTGCAGCCCGACGCACCACCACCGCACCACAAAGTATGAGCAGAAGTCGCGCCCAAAGCCAGGGCCCCGGTAACGTGAGGTAGCCGAGTCGGGGCAGCGTGCGCTGACCCAAGCCGGGGCCGCAGCTTTGGGCGCGGTCTACCGCATCCCCGCGGGCAGCCCCGGGCTATCACATGACACCGGGAGGACGCGCGGCTCCGGCTTGGGTCAGCGCACGCTGCCCTGACTCGGCTACCTCACGTTACCGGGGCCCTGGCTTTGGGCGTGGTCTACCGCACCACCTAACAGGCGTGTTCGAAACCGCAGGAGCTGATGATGAACGGGTTTATCGAAACTTGATTGGATGAGCATATCGGTAATAGCGATTTCAGTGTGTGCATTTATTGTTCATAGTGGTGTGAAATGTGGTTGGGGTACGACCGACAACCCGTCGGGGCGAATTTCGCACTGGGGTACTCAAAATTTGAAGAATTTAAGACGTTTCCATGAGTTTTGAAGGTATGGATAAGTTCTAAAAATCCGGTTCTCCTTATCTGGGCCATTAACTCCATACGGTCCAAGAAAGCTGGCACACTACCTTTAAGCTCTGATGAGACCTCGGCGAAGCCCGCCGTGCCGTGCCGGGAGTGCCCCTTGTTTCCAAGTATCTACCGTGACCTGTCACACTGTATCACCACTCCACTCCCAGCTGACAGACTGTACTGAATCCCCTCCCTCCCCGGGACGTGTCGGCAGGCATGTATCACGCCAAGCACGCTGAGGTGGGCGGTAAAGCGGGCGCTCGCCGGCGCCGCACGGCCAAAGGGGGCGCCACGGGCGGCGGGGAGTTTCTCGGGTTTGATGAGGACGACAGCAGCAGCTCGGATGTGGAGACCGGAGAGAAGAGAGAGCAAAGGGTGAGGAGAGAGGATGGGGTGCCATTAAGGCGTATTGAGGCTACAATGACATTGACTGATTTGTTTATGCTGCGGAGTGGGTGGAAGTAAGGCAGTGGGATGCCCCTTGGCAGTTGAAGTACTCTATCGAATCATATGTCGCCTTTAAATGTAACATAACATAAACGCATTGACTTGTCATAATTAAATTCGGCTTACCCTTTTTGCACTCGCTTGCACCCTTTGCTAAATGGAAACAATCTTTCCACGAATTTTACCAGGAATTAAGTCACCATGGTCAGTTAAAATGGGGATGTTCTGCCAGCGTCTGGGAGGTACCCGGGAAGCGGAGAGAGATTTCATCCTCGCCTTGATTAGCCTATGGATGCCCGTTTATCAACAGACTGCCCGGGCGGCTCTCAGTGACGAGGTACTGTTCGAGGAGCACCTACTGGACGGGCTGGGCGGCTGGCTGGATCGACTCTTCGAGGGACAGACGGTCCGCTACCACGTCAAGTACTGGCCAGACTTCACCGGCAAGTAGGCAGGCCACGGCTACAGGTCCGTGCGACTGGCTCGCACGGCTGCTGACTGCGAATCTTGGCTGGACGGATCCTATTTGTTCAACACTTATCCGTATGGCTTCAGACTATGAATCAGGCTCGCACGGTTCGGTACGTCTGTATGACTCCGGTGCGTAAGGATCCTGCTTGTATGGATCTGGTCCGTACGACTCTTCTCCGTCTGATTATGGTCCGGATGACATTGCTGATAGCTTCGCGGATAGGGGAATCGGATGCCGCTTCATACGCTGGTTTGATGTAGTCGGTAGGAAGATGGGAGCTAGTTTCATAATCGTCCCTGCCACTCAGTCAGGGGATGGCAGCTGAGGTCGGAACAACTTAGTCATTTAGGCATTGTGACATTAAGTCGCCAGAGACTGATTTGCTTACTGCTAGTCGGTCGCCAAGGACTGAGTGACTCGCGGGGATTGAAAAGTCACGCTTTCCGCCCTAGCCTCCCTTCGCGCTGACCCGTCGGCCGCAGCGCTGCTATGGCATTTTGCGGGTTATCCTCAGCCGCTCAGTCGATGATCGGAGCCAGTGGCGGGGCAGCAGATACGACTGGAAACACTTACTGAACCACAGTAATTTGGTGTCCCCGTGCGTTCGTGATAAGGTTGCCGGCCCCGTTTAGTCGGCGTGTGTTGGTGGTGAAGGCATACCAAAGGTGTTGCGTTCGTGTGCCGGTGTTCGGGTCCATGTGTGCCGAGGGCCATGTCACAGTATCAGACCGATGGGGATCTCTGGTCGGTGTGATTTGTCTGGAGAAGCGAGCTTTCGCAGATAGAGGGTCGAGGCGGTAAGCTCATTAGTCCAGTACGTATTTGTAAGTGGCAGTGGTCCAGTGTTGGTATTGAGCGGCATTTATTTACCAGCACGGCACGGCTGTCAAGGCGACATCTATTGTTCAGACAGTGAACCCGAGATTGTGTGTTGCGGGAAAACTGTCGCATCTGATGCTGGATGCTTCAGCAATCTATTTGCAAGTCAGGTACGCATGAGATTGACGTTGCACATAGCTTGATTGGGCCATTTGCAGATGACTTTTTGACATTAAAGCTTCCTCACTCTTAAAGCTTCGTATCTGTTACATTTCCTACTCCAAGCTTCTTGTATGATCGTCGAAGTGGAATATTTTCCAATATCCATGCGTCATTCTCATAACTGACCTAATAACGATTATATCAATCATGTTAAAATATTTCATTCCAAGCTAAGGACCCATTTCCTCCGCTCCACTGTTGAGTAAGAGGCAGGAGCATCTCGCTCCTGACTCTTACTCAACAGGCATCTGAACCCGCTAATTGCAGCTAGCGGCGAAGGTGTTGCTTTCTTGTCAACCAATTACGACTTTTTCCTATTCTGACGTTAAGCGGCAAGTCCATTGTATTGCCGGTGATATTATGGCCAATAATTAGCTTGTCATTAGTAATACTAACTACGTTTAGTTATCCGTGATAAGAAAAGCTGGTATATAAAATCCCTCACTGTGTATTCTTAATCCGGTGTGTTCAATGTTACGGTATTTGACTGGCACCGTGCAATGACATTTGATCCAAGACATTATCACCACCGCAATTTGTGTTATTGATGTCATCTCACCTTAAATAGCAATGTGAATATTAGATCGATGCTCCGATGCACAATACTTCGGTGCATGCCGTTTCCGTAACTGGTCAATGACATTGTATGGTCTGATGTTGACATATTGTCATGTCACGCCACGATCTGCGGATCTGTGCAAGCTTGTCGGGTCGATTTTTATTACCGACGACCAAGCTGCTCGTCTTGTCAGCTACGCCCACGTCTTGCCGAGTGTGGTTCCCGAATCGTCTCACGTCGTCCCCGCACAGTCTCCGTCTGCATGCGCCAGATTTGTAACGCGGCTGGCCCGGCGCGGAGCTGTGGCCTCTCGCTCCCCCACGCGCGCGTGCATGGGTTTATGTACCACCTCCACTCTCTAGTCAGTACACGACAGTGGTCCTGGCTGCTCACATTATACTAGTCATAGCGGGCCGATTCCGGTCGCGTCGCCAAACTGTACAGGCACCAATGTTATATTATGTGGTGTCTGAGTTAGCGTGTCTGGGTTGTGTGTTTCGTGTTATCGGTTTGGTTTTTATTCATATCCATCTGGTCAAATATACTACCGAATGTATGGGTTTGTGTTTAGGATGTCGCGATTGGATGACTGATCTGAGACCAAATGAGAAAGCGAACGGCCGCTAGGTGGCATATTTTGTCGGTTGACCATGCACAAGTTACCTACCAACTCTGAATATTTGGGGCTAAACAAACTGCAATGTGTGATCAATCATTAACAAAAAGGCAGCGTAGATACTAAACAATGATATATTTGCAGTGAATGTTGCATTAGGTGATCTCATTTCGCAAGCTATCTAATATGTATGACATGCACACGAATATTTCATAACAAAAGGTGATCTCTTTTCATCATTCGGCATTACACTTGCCAAATATTATGTAATTCATCGCTGACGACACATCAAATCGTGTTTCTTAAAAACTACGTTATCACTCCGCCGGCTCAGCAACATGTGAAAGGTTTCTGGATCCAATCTCCAGAACATGGCACGAGCTAGTCTCATCGTCACAGATCTCGACTTGGGAAAGGGGACACCAACGTACAAAAACCCAGGACAAGTCCGCTAAAAACAGACGTCTGCCTTTCATCATTCAACATACAGACGTAAAATGTTGCCTCGCTCTCACGCTATCACAGCTGATCAATTATATATCAGCACATGGCACGATATTCCATGTGTTCATCGTTTCATGACTACACTGACACTGAAGCCTCCCTTCGCACCCTTCACTGGCTCGGTAGGTTATCATGGGCCCTGACACTCTACCGTGTATCACAGCCCTGCATCACTTTCGGCTTATCTATACAGAATCTATACGACTCGCATCATATCCCTGGGTCCCCTCGAACCGAAACTAGAGAACCACAGACTACACCACAATTCCTTCAACTGCATGGTTCACGGCTCCAGCAACTGCACAGCTTCATCCATCTGTTCTGGCGTCCAGTAGCCGTTTTCGCGCACATTGGGCGGGCTGCTTTTCCAGTCCCAGACGGGTTGTGGCACGCGCCACTCTGGTCCGTAGTTGGAGATCAGGTAACGCTCGGTGTCGCACGGGACGCGCACCCGCAGCTCCCGAAACTCGGTCCAGCACAGCTCGAACGCGGCGAAGTCGTACCTAGGGACGGCGAGGAGGGGGATGAACCGTCAAAATGACAACAGGATGATAGGAACAACAGCGATGAAACGCTTTATTGAAAATCTTTCATCACCGAAACCGGTAAATATAATACACATTTCTTTTCGGAATAGCGCAACTACAAGATTAAAACTGTGACTCTTTGCAGTTTCTCACAGCCTATAGATGAATGGACGAGACAGAACGGGAAACACTAGGTCCCAAGGGAACAAACACGCCTTGGTCACATTACAAGGATCTCAGACAATCAACGAACGGTATTTAGGAGATGCTCATCTTATATCTTATCAGTTTGTTTACAGTGTTGTTCGGTCATGAGTTTAATCCTTTCCACGAAATACAAGGCTAAAATTGTTTCCTTCTATGTCGTCCTGAGATTTTTGGGAGAAGACACCAAACAACAGACAATGTGAAAGCGGCTTATGTGAATGCATAACACATGAGCAAAGACGGGCTTTATAATACTGAGTCGGAATAATTAACACTTTAACAGTTAACACGGCACGGTCCACAACACATAGTCTTTGTCGTTTAACCTTGACAGGGGTCCTACGAACTCTAAGAATAGCTCTAACGGCTGCTCCGGAAGATGAAATCAGACCTATGAATAGAAAGACACGAGATGAAACTGGGCGTATATAACATGATGTCACATCGAATATTAGAACACCTGAATCTCCCTGCAAGTTAGGACCTCAAAGCTTATCTTTATTTTCCGACAACTCGTGATTGTACTAAGCCCCATCAACCCAAACTTACTGGCAATTCGGACCTAGTCCAGTCACGAAGACTCAAATTTACTTCACGTCTATTCAGTCCGCTAACCCACCTGAACTTTTTGCCCGTTCGGGCCTGCGTTCCTCCGTTCCACATGATGTCCCCATCTTCATAGAAGAAGAAGATATCCAGCTTTATGTTATCCGGCGACCGGAAACTCAGCTCCAGACTGTCTTCAGGCAGTCCGAACCGGTGTACCAGGCGCAGACGTCGCTCGGCCATGGCCTCCACAATCTGAGAGAGGCTCGGCAGGCGGGTGTCTCCGGCCCAGTCGCGTACGGAGGCGATCCGTACGCCGATATCTACGTCCCCCATGTAAGGCACAAAGTCGCACTGCCGGTAGTAGCCTGGTGGACAGAAGGGGAGGGGGAAGGTCAGTGTTGTGGGCCGGTGTAGACAGCAGGCGACACCGGTTGAAAAGGCAGCGGCTTCGTAGATGGAAGAGCTGAGAATTGAAAATGCACGCCACCAGTGCAAGTTAGCGTGGTTTACAATGAACACAGCTTGTGTACTGAGTAGTGGTATTATAGTTGTTTTATAATATTCCCCCAAACAAAAAGCATCTGCAAGCAGGTAGAATCCGAATCCCCTTCCCCCATCCGAGTTTCATTTGCATATGCTTGTTCAGATGGTAAAGCGGATAATAGGGTGCATGAGTGTTTAGGCAGAAAGTGATATCCCATCTTAAGCAGTAGAGCAGTTCTTGATCGACTTTATTAGCTTAGACGGGCGCATATGAATATGGCATCCAGGCGCGCTACGGATTAGAAGGGAAATGACGCTTATCACAGGCGATATAAATAATGTAAGCCATGGCATCTTGAACTGACTACAACAAGTAACGACTAACGACCACCCCGAAAGAAACTAGCCACAGCCCGCAATCGTTTCATCAACCAGAGCAACATGCATACAGCAAACGCTGGAAATCCCAACATTGCGAACAATGTCGGCTCTTGGTCGGCTCCACCCTGACTTTGCAATGATCATCGTCCCGGTCTTACTAAATGATTACAATGCACAAGCCTTACAATGCCGCTTCGCCTACACAAAGACCCAAGAACGGTGTAGGCTCGGTGCTGTATCTGATATGAAGTCCGTCTGCATTGTTTTGGAAAAGTTTTGGTAGGGGTGATGAAATCTAGAGTACACATTGCTGCACAATGACGTTTTTAAGGAAGATCGTTCGCCTGATCTGGGGAACAGCCGCATTACCTCATTCATAAATTTGGATAACTGGAGGAAATACCTGGCGGTCGCATCTTATCGAACAATTCGACTGATCTTTTCAATTCATTTTCCTACTACCGGCCACGGGCAGATGTCTGTCACGATTGGTGCCATTGAGTCATCGCCAATGTCTAGTCTAGACATAGTCATTGTCGAGCTGACTCATTTAGACAGGTTCCAGTGTCTGGTGATGTCACCCATTCACGCTGAGCTGACTCAATTGTAGTACCTAGACGACACTAGACACAGACAGGTCCCGCTGCTGAAACGCCTCACCTAAAAGGTGTTACTACTGAGCTGACTCACCTAGACAAATGCTGCCCCTCACTTGACTTTACCACTCTACACCAGTCCCACTCCTTAACTAACTCACCCAGACAGTAGACAGTACCACTCCTAAACTAACTCACCTAGACAAGTCCCACTGCTGAGCCAGAAGGGCACCTCGAGCTCGTCCAGGGCCGCGGCAGCAGCGGCCAGCAGGCGCCAGGCACGGTGTCGGAACCGCTCGGCGTCTGCGGACGCGTCCCGTCCCTCGGTTAGGTGGAACTGGTGTGCCCTCTCACGGTCGCAGGGGATGAACCGGGAGGAGAGCAGGTGACGAACGAAGGCAGTACGGTCGGCTGGCTCAGCCAGTACAGAAGACTTGCTTCTATCAGCCAGACGGAACCTGCCGAGAGACAGAGAGGGGAAGAGTGATGTAGAAATATGAGGGAGTGATGTAGAAATATGACCATCTGCGATCAGGGTGCAACGGGAACACAGTTGACGCCATTTGTTCACGCCACCTGCTTAAGATTACGGTTTTTAAAGTGTGTAATCTGAACAACACGGACTTAGTGAATCATGCAGATTTAAAGACACAGTCGTGACATTGAAATTATTTCTGTGCTTAGTCCGAAGATCTTGTACAAAACAGGTTTCGGTCCGTTTGCTGCGTTTCAATGTGGACGAATCGAATGTCACATTTATGTCGATATAATAAGATATAAATCATCCAACGTTTCAGCTTCCATCACATATTTTGAAGGTTCATTTCATTGGGATTATTCTAAATCGAGGTGTACCGTTAATTCTATGTGACTCTCGCCTGCCAAACTGACGAATCAATTAACTGGTTGGAGGATGCGGCCACACACAGCCGCAGCGACAGCGGCCAGCAGAGCCGCTAGCCACAGGGGGAAGAATGCACTACGAACCGCTACGCCACACATCAAAGGTTTGATAGAGAACAAAGGATCATAGCACAAATGTCGCAGGTATTTTCAGGGAATAATCACTTCTTCCGTGGCCGTGACATTCTTGGAAAGCGCTTTAATCGTTCTCATTGTGATGGTCATAAAACAAAGGGAGATTTCATTTCCACGAATTGAATGCTTCATATCTCTTTGACAGTCACGAGTTCGGCAACGAGCTTTAAATAATTAAAATTCACTGCTAGCTGCGCCGTCCTATCTGACCTTGGCGCGCAAAAGCAGTTTCACTGTACCAGGGTATACAAAAGCGCATGTTCAAAGCGTTAAGCATCTATTGGCATTTGTGAAACATGTTTTTATTTTTAGGCCATGCAATCAAGCAGCAACACTTTTTATCAAAGCTCATGAATTCCATTTTGTTTGCAACGAGACTTTCCTGGTGGTGACTGTACAGGCGTGGGAACCGACTAGACAACCATAAAACGGAATCACCGTAAATAATATTGGAACCCCATGGGAGGCAGCCTCACCCTGCACAGTGCACACAGCACACATTGCCTGACATTCCTTAAAAAAACGTATATAGGTATATTCCTCAGCTGTCTGATCAATCATACCCATGCGCTTCAAATAAACATCTGATATTTTTTCGGTTAATAGGGGACATCCACACGGCACTACGTGCAAAAAGATATTCTTCCCGGTTGCTTGCTGTATGTAAATAGCATTATAGCACGGCTTCTGCCAAAGTGAAGACCCATAAACCCACCACTTCAGAAGACGGGTCAATCATCTAGTCGCTATATTTTTTTTCGGTCTGGTGAGGCAGAATTTCGTTATGTTTCAGGCATTTGGAAGGCCGGAGATGTATCGCAGCAGCGAAAAGCTAGCGTCCATTTTTCCGAAAACTGGTAGGTATGTAGCTGAATAAAGCAAAACCATTAACACTATGGTAAAACGTTCACCGCAGAGATGGCTGATGTGAGTGAAATATGATATCGCAGTTACATCCAAATTTATTGCACGTCGATGTCGAGTCATACGGAACCAAAAGCGGACACAGCTTTTGAGAAAGAATGATCTCTCAATGGTGCTAATTAGGACAGCTATTGACAGGAAAACGTTTCATTAAACAATTGAATTTCACACAATGGCAAACTCAAAAATCAACGGATGGGGACTAATAACTGCTTAAATACATATTCGTGCCACGAGCATCTTTGGGGCAAGTGGCCTTTATTATTCGATTTAGCAATTAAATAAATGATCAGTGCGACGGATGAGAAAGATCCGCCACATCGTATAAAGGCGGGCATTGCAGAAAAACGATGCAAAAGGTCAAAACGAAATTGACAAAAGTTGTCATTCCAGGCCCCTGTTCATTGTCATAATACAGACGGACATGAATGTGTTGACATTTCATATTCCAATGAACCTGCCCTGCGGTGGTGGCGTTGGCATTCAGCAGGCAGGAACACACGAAAGACACTAGCGTTGTGGCATGTTGACATTGAGTAGGACCCGGGAACCTTGTCTTCGGGCGTCACAGCCTTGTCAAATTAAAAACATTTATTCCTCGCAAATGAAGTGCTTGCGGTGATGGCAGCCAATGTCGTGCTAGACGATGCCTTCTCCCGGGTAGAATTCGTTGAGCACCGCCAGGCAGTTCTCACGACCCTCGCGGTTGTCGGGCTGGGGCCGGCCGGCGCCTCCGGTGGGTCCCCAGTTTTCATAGCAGCCCTGTCCCCGGTTGCAGACGGGGGTGCGGGCCCCGTTGTTCCACACGAACTGTCCTCCCTCGCTGAGGCGCTGTCCGGACGTCCAGTAGAACTCGACCTTGCGTCCGCCCCTGGGCAGCCGGCGGTTGATCTCCTGCTCCTTCTGCGGCGAGGTGAGCGAGACGAGCCTCAGTCCGAGCTGGCGACACTCGCCGGCCGCCTGGTCCCACGTGTACTGGCCGCCGCTGTGACGCGGGTTCTCCCAGGACAGGTACAGACCGCCACTCTTGGTGGCTCGCTCTCTTCCAAGGGGAGTAGAGAGCGTCTTAGAGACCTTGCCAAACGACACAGATGGCACGAAGCCGCCGGTAGTTATTCCAAACTTCGCCGCGGGGGAACTGAAGTCACTGCCGGAGCTGAAGTCACTGAAGCCACTGCTGGAACTAAAGTCACTGAAGTCACTGCCGGAACTAAAGTCTTTGCCGGAGCTGAAGCCACTAAAGCCACTGCTGGAACTTAAGTCTTTGCCGGAACTAAAGTCTTTGCCGGAGCTGAAGTCACTGAAGTCACTGGCAGAACTGAAGTCTTTGCCGGAACTGAAGTCTTTGCCGGAACTGAAGTCACTGAAGTCACTGGCAGAACTGAAGTCTTTGCCGGAACTGAAGTCTTTGCCGGAACTGAAGTCACTGAAGTCACTGCCAGAGCTGAAGTCGCTGCCGCCGTGGAGAGCCTTGAAATCAGTGGTGGTGAGCTTCGGAGCTTCATACACATCCGAGAGCTTGGGAGCACCGTAGCCGCTCTGAACTTTGGGCGCATCGTACCCCTTCGTAAGCTCGGGGACACCATAGTCCTTAGAGAGTTTTGGGACACCATACTTGTCATCCGGCGCCTTATAGAGCAGCGTCTCGACTTTGGGTGCGCCGTAGCCGGTGATGGGTTTCGGCGTGCCGTATCCAGACCGGGACTGCCGGCCGCCGTAGCCTCCGCCGTACCCGCCGGGTTTCCGGTACGTCGGGGCGTAGCCCTTGTTGGGTTTGGGTGCGCCGTAGCCGGCGGCCTCATGGAAGCTGCGGAGAGGTCCGCCGGCAGCCGCCAGACCGAGGAGGGTCAGACAGAGAGCTGCGTATGCCGGGGCCATGGCTGTGCTGTGACCGACGTCGAAACACTGGTACCGACGGACCGCAGAGCAGTGATTAAATACGCAAACTATGCTGCGTGAACTGTTCAGCATTACCAAATCACTGTTTGGCGCTGTTCGAATGATACAGATTGCGAAGATTGCACAGAAGCACGCAGTGTTGCATTGTTGAAGTGGATTGCTGTGCTGTTCCATTGTATACAGCCAACACGGGGTGACCATCTGATCATGGGGCGTCGCCTTGCTCCACCTGTCCTCTGCGGTCACACAGCACCAACCACAAAAATAACTGTGCAACCAGCCGCGGACACCAACACGACTGTCAGTCCCCGTCGACCTTCGCTGCGAGCGATATTCTGTCGACCGGACGATTCAGTCGACAGTATCGCACCTTGGAGATGCACATCGTCGTGCTACTTATTGTAGCGTGCAAGGATTTAAACAGCCGTTACGTTTTGCACCGTCGAATAGCAGAGATATTAGGGAATTAGAGGAAACAAAACGCTAGACCAGGGCATCCAAAGTCGTCGGCCTTATAAGTGTAATCAATCTGTGTGATCAGAGTGTAACTAGAATTCTTGACCATATCTGATATGCTAAATAAGTCATGGTATAACTCACAAAATGTTACCCTTCTTCAGTACAATAGTTAACTGTAAAAATAGCACATCTTGCTCCACCAATGGTGTGACGTTAACGTTATAACTTAAGTGAGCTTCAACTCGAATCATCCAATACAGATGACATTTTGATGTCTAACAAAGCAATTATAATCCTTGAAACGGTTCACCGTTACTTGTTAAATGGCTCAGCATTTCTTCAAACCACAAGCCAAAGTGCTTAAACATGACAGCCAAGACAAAGCCAGCTTTCATATTTTAGGAGGCGATGTAGCTCTGTGAATCTTGAATAACACTGAGATCTCAAGTAAGCAGCAGCATGTTTACACTCTTTTGGGACAGAGGTGGTGGAGAAGGGGTAGCGAACCTTTTTCTTCAAGCCTTCTAGATTCACGTCTAGTTAGCACCAGTACCAGTACACATTGACTGGATGTATGTAGCTGTTGAGCTGAACCGATTTTTTTTTTGATATTTTTTTTTTTCAAGTATGTAATATCGAACGATCGTGACATATTATCACAGTCACTTCATCGCGACCCGAGCGGCCATCATAGCGTCATCGTTGGCTTCATCGAAGAAAAACCGCACCCGTAAGTGACCGAGGGCGGCACCGTTGTGGAGCAGCCGTTCTGCGAAGCCGGTGAAACCACAAAGCCAGCCGAGGCAATCACGCAGGCCCACAGAAGCAACAACAGCCAGTACTTAAAAACCAAACTTACAACCTAAGGGGGGAGGGTACACACTACCTGAGCCAAAAAAATGAACCGATTCTTTGAGGGTAAAAAGGACTTAAGTACCTATGCATTTATGCAACCGTATGACTTTCAGGCACACTGAATATACGAGTACGTTAGGAATGTGGAAGTATGCAATTTTCTATGCACACCCAGAAATCGTTAAGATCGTTTGGACTCCTTTCATCAGCGACAGCGGTCCGGTGAATCGATTTCACTTACGACACGTGCATCGTGAGGCTTAGATGATCTAGGATTAGGTGC